TATATATATATATATATATATATATATATATATATATATATATATATATATATATATATATATATATATATATATATATATTATATATATATATATATATATATATATATATATATATATATATATATATATATATATATATATATATATATATATATATATATATATATATATATATATATATATATATATATATATATATATATATATACAGTATATATATATATATATACAGTATATATATATAATATATATATATATATATATATATATATATATATATATATATATATATATATATATATATATATATATATATATATATATATATATATATATATATATAGTGGTGGTTTTGGGCCAAAAATTTGATTTTGCTGAAAATCTCTACACATCTTTTTAATCATAACCTCGAGTACTTTACATCTCTCTACTAAGCCATGATAGGGAGCAGTTGGCAAATAATGAACAGAAAGAAGTCTTCTTACCTACTCTCATCATTTCTGATGAAATCTGTGTCCCTTGATCCAAAGCCAATTCCTCCGATAAGTAAATAGATTGGTAGGTATATAGATGGGTACAGGGCCGAATTCAGGAGTGGGCAGCTGCCCAGGGGCCTCCACATATTACAATAATCTATTTGTTTATTCATTTGGATCATTTTTATTTTCATTCTTTAAAATTCATGTTTATCTATTCCATCACGTAAAACTATGTTCAGCAAGAAGCGTGATAGAAATTAGGCTAGCTTTTCCTTGAAATTCATGAATACCTGGTTTTCTTATCACCCGTATATTTTTAATGAATGCTATTGTTTGTGTTGCTAATAAAATATTTAGAATTCCACAAACATATATTGATTAAAAATGAACTATCTGGAATAACGAAATTGAGATTAAAAAAAAAAAAAAATATTTTTTTCATTATCACTTCCATTAAGAATGCCATCAGGGCGCTGTGTTCTAATTTCCTCAATATAACTGCATATGGCTTACAAATTCTCCGAAGAAGTGTTCAAATTTCAAAATTTTCCCTGGGGGCTTACAAGTGGCCCCTGGAACTCCCAGATGTTTAGGCTCGCTTCACTCGCCACCCCACCCTCTTGGGTAGTTATAATGAGGGGGGCCTCCACAAAGAGGCTGCCCATGGGCCTCCACAGGTCTAAATCCAGCACTGGATGGGTGAATGGGTAGATAGGTGGGTATTTATTTATTTACATGCATATTAAATATTTCTTCAGTTTACATGATTGTGATGCTGATGGAACATGTTCCTTGTCTTCTCGGTCATGTCCTAATGAACCTTTTTTGTCTTACTTTTAGACGAGTTATGTCATCAGCAAGTGGATAAGAAATATTTACAACTGATGACATAACACTTTATTTAATATACTTAATTCCAAACCAATCTATGTATTTACAATGACTATTTTCACTTGATATTCTTTGTACACATCTTAAACCTGGGAATCTGGAACAGACAAAAAGAGTGAACATTGAGAAAGCAACATAACAACGACCAACTGACTACTGAGGAGTTTCTCATTCTCACTCCTCCTCTACAGTATCTAGACAGACATAACAACTGTTTAACTTCCTTACAATACTGTTATTTAGCCCCAAAAATACCAATAAACTTTAGGTAGCAATTCCTAACTCACAATGTGTCCTCAGATTTATTTATTACTAAAATCTATAATTGAAAGACAACTGGTGGACACATGAAAATTTTAAATAAAATAACAGTTTGATATGTTCATTAAATTAACTTGCATCTAAAACCTTATGACCACAGATCTGATACTGCATGGTCCTTTACGTGCAGTTAAAACAATATAAAATTATACCATAAGTTGTTTAAAAAATGATAATCTAATTTGAACACAGTGCAGTTAATCTTTCTTCCTACAATCAGTTAACTGTACTGTATAACATCCACCATCTTCCATGTACTGTATTGTATATCTTAGTAAAAAAAAAACATAACTCAAAAAGAACTTCACATGAATAAGTGAATTAACAAAACAAAAGTACAGTAATCATTCAGTGGGTGTTGTGGAGAGGTGAACCTCACATACTGTATACAGTAATTGTTTGATGACAATGCAATACAGTATTTAAATTTTGGTTTTATATTACATTGTTTTATATATGTACATTTGATCAGAGAAAATGAAGTGAAATTATTCCAGACATTATAATTACCATTACCGGGTAACTTTAAACTTGCCAGAAATTATTTGTAACATAATATCAATTAATTCCCAGTGTAAGTGATTGTATGACATTGAACGATGAATAAACCCCCTTGAAAATGTTGTCATGCCTTGGTAACTTAAACACAGTAATCCAAATTTTTTTTATTATATACCAAGACAGAGAAGTCAGAGAGGTTTATTAACGTTACTTATTATTTTGTACACACAATCTTCTTTACTTTAGTGGTGACATTTTATTGGTTGGGATGGTGACATGGCTGTCAGAAATCAGTTCTGCCCCATACCATATCAACCCTACTGAGTTTAAAGGTACAACTAGGATCTCCCCCCCCCCCCTGATCACACCCTCAATGATTTTATGCAGTATTCCCAAGCTCAAATATCAATATTCAATACATAGTGATCATCCATGTTATTCATAATTATGCATCACTATATAACAATAAATAAATCATATCTAATTAAATAGCTTTCTCTATCATGTCTGGAAAAACATTGGGTATGTATAACATTTCAAAAATATTAAATGCAATCAGCAAGTGACAGTTATTAAAAAATTAGCATTATGGTATTACTTCTCTTACCTCAAGAGTAAATTGTTGCTAGCAATTTTCATGCTGTTTTGTATATTTTCCTATGACTTGTCTAATCTGTAGGATACACAGACATACTTATTCAGACATTTTAACATGCTTGCTTGAAATGAAGGAGGTGGGATTGTTTGCAATACAGATATACAGTAATACTGTACATCTAAAGTGCAAAGTAAACATATGATATGCCTGCAAAAATAAATTTGTGCTGTGACAATGGATGTAACATGGGAACCAAGCATGGTCCTTATCTGAAGCCTTCTTCAGTAACACTGAATCAGAGCAAAAGCTAGTAGTCCTGAGAACACAGAAGAAAACAAAAAAGAAGCAAACACACTTACAATAATGGAATGTGCAACAATGTCTGTAAGATAAGACATAGAGAAGACAAAAGGCTCAAATATTTCAAACTGTTATCTTCTAAAACACCTCTAGAGAAGGGTTCACATGAAGCATCAAGCCACAAATCATACAATAATTAGATTTTAGAGATAAATCACTGGAGAATGAAGATACAAACCCTAATTGCATGTACTTCTAAAGGATTCTTTATCTAATAACAAAATATTAAGGAATATATTTACAAGACAAAAATATATATGTATATATACTATGTACAAAAAAAGGGGGGAATTAAACCAAATTAGAGGTTTACATGGCAGATTAAAGGGAAACTATCTTTATTACATACAAAACATTGAACTTTCTGACGTGGCTTTGTTAATTTAATACTAAGACTTACTCTGGTCAGTTATCTCTCATTAACAACAACTGTAATTTGGAATGTAATTGGTTATATCTCAAGAAAAAATATGCTTTGGAGTTCTATAACATTTACATTACCTTGTATTGGTTTTAAGTTCAATTTCCCATATATACCATGAATGTAGATAGAGTAATTATGGCATGTCTTGACTTCAATATGAAGTCAATAATAACTACTGTATTACTGTACACATGGAGGACAACCCGACCTGCCCTCCCACACTCATCCTCACTATCTCGTCTAGCCCTATTAATTAGGATTTATATTAAATCACTAATTCACAGAGTAAATCAATTAAAATTAATAGGAAATATCCACTGTGAATAGTGTTATACTGTATTACATTAAGACAAAAGGAATATATTGTAATGTCAAATAAAAAAAAATCAACCATAATTTCCACAATCACAACATACCTCCAAAGTCATCTTTACTTTAACACAACTAACATTATATTAGAGAAAACACATTGCATAACTGATATAATGTTCTGGGGTTATTAATAATGCAAATGCAGAGCTTTGGATTCATCACAAGTAATTGTACCAAATGGATTTACAATACTATACACTAAAATATTCTATTAATATACAGTATACAGTACTAATTAATTTCTTTCCTTAATTTGTGGATGAACTCCAAAAGCCCTGGATTCATCCAAAATGACAATATGTATTTGCTATGTGTTCACAACTCCATTTGCTAAAGTAATATGTCTAATATATATTGGTATGCTCTAGATATGAGTAAACTTCACAAAACGAATAATTTCCTCACTAAATATGCCCCTTTCTGTTAGGTACCCAAAGAAATTCTAAGTAAAATATATAAAAAGTATCAATATTTCCTTCAATATGTGCTCCTTTAGCCATTGTTCAGTAACATACATATGAGAGGCTACATCACACCATGACATAACCCCAGCCATGGTTCATTCCACTGTTCAAAGATCCATTCTTAGAAAAGAAGAAGAAAAAAAATATACCATTTTACCGTCTTATTCAAAGTGATCTTATGAAATGCTTTTCTGGAATAAGTGACTGTTACATTACACAGTACACATCAATGCCTAGTCTTCTGACAATCACATACTGTACACTACAGTATTATTGTCAAATAGTATGGCATTTCAACATATATCCATACTATTTTGTTTAATTGTGAGCACAGGAAAAAGAAGTGTATGAATACATATATTTAAAAAAAATTTCACTTGAACTAATTTAAAAATACAGGAGAGGTTAACTAGACATATTAGGTAACTGTGTAATGAGGGAAGATATTTAGAAACAGCAATTAGAGTTACAGAGAATGGTCACATTAAGTTAATATAGTTGGAAAGTAATGGAGTAAATAGAACTTGAATCGAAAGAGAGAACATCAGCAAGCTCTATAATCTTGTATACAGGAAGTAGTAATGTCTCTTAATGGGTACTGAACAGTAGTTGAATGATAAAACAATAACATACATACAGTCCTGCAGGTAGGATGTTTGGGGTAATTAATGATATGCCGAGCCTCCATAATAAGACTAGTTAAGGATACAGCCACAGTCAAACTATTAGACATAGAAGATCATGGCTCAGTACCAAGCACATATGGAGAACATTTCCAATTAAGGGATGCCAAAAACCCTCAGGGATCTCTAAAATTTTGATGTCAGTAGTACCACAAGGACTACAGGAAGAGAATTTTTGTCACCAAGGGTTACAAAGCCTCTTAGTGGTACACCGGGGTAAGGTTGAGATGCAGATGATGGCGAGGAGATTCGTGCAGAGCAGAACCACTCATCTGTTGTTCTCGCCGCACTTTAATAGATGCCAGAATGTGCAGCACCATGGCTTTACAGTCTCCACACACAGACATCAACTCTCCACGCAGATGCTCCTCAACTTGTGTTGTCCGGGAACGCTGCTTCTGCTTCCTGTCATTTGAAAAGATTAATATAATTAACAAATTAAATATTAAATTAAAAAAAATTTCTTATTGCCAAGAGGGAAAAAAGAAAAGAAAAAATAGGAGCAGTTTATGACCAGGGTACGTTCCTTTTTATCATTAACTGTAAGCTAACATTTACTATTTCACTGGGGTCAAATTTTATGAATGGTATTATTACTAAACAGGTTGTAATTCTCTAGTCCAGCAATTCCCGTAGTCGGGAATATTTTGAATCTGGCGCCATTAGTTTGCAGTGGCCACCAGTGCAGCTGTATTAGCAGTGCCAAGCTGCCAAGTTAGATTGTATCTTTATACTGGTCTCTATACTGCATTCAAATTTCAAATTTCCCAAGGTACTTGACACAGACTTTCCTTTCCATCTCGGAATTATTGCCCTTAAATTCTCGAACCTAGATTAGATTCATACTCATAATCCTATCTCAGACTTAAGTGCCCACAGATCTTAGGCCTAAGTTGGACTCCCGCCTACTTGAGTTGGTGAGGGTTTACTGTAGTAAATTCTTAATACAAGTCCTTACTTGAATATCAAGGAAAAATATGTTATGCAGGGGGTGATGTAACTATATTAAAGTGTCAAAATTTTTGTTCATGACATATTACATCTCATGAATTTCAAGAGGAATGCTAAAATTATATCCTGAAATCTTGATACTCTCTACACTGGTGCCTAATACAGCAGCTGTGTTATAAAGAACATGCACGACTTACTCCTCCATTAGCCGCAGTTGTGCAGCACGGCACTCACTAGTTCCAGGGTCCTTGAGCGTACCAGCTTGGGCCTTACAATGGCAGATAGATCATGCAAAGCTTAATACTGACAGTTCATGCAGAAGGAAGGAGCAATATGTAGTTGTTAAATAGAAATTATACACAGTATCGTGCAGAGAATGAAGAATATCCAGGCAGCTTGTTGTAAGTCTTACCATTAATGGCGGCAACATGACACTGACAAAACTTAATTATCAATTTAATTCTTCAATGAATAGGGACATATACGTTAATAAATTTGTGTAAAATCAGAGCAATATGAATGTCATACTGTATTTAACTTAAAAGACTATTAACTGTACATTTGTAATTAAACTGCAATCTTGATTAATAAACACACACACACAAGAACATTAGAAATACTGTACAGTATACTGTATACAATAACAAGAAAGAACTGTACTATTACTACCTATACAGCATAATACTTTCCTAACATTGTATATACAAGCTATATCATAAACAGTACTGTAATATAAGCAGGGGAGTCCAAGCAACACCCATTCCAAATGCTAATCTTGTTATACATCATCAAATTTTCATATTGGAATTTATTTACCATGTTCTTCCCTCTTAGTCCTTTTCAGTCACCCTCTATACTTAAACGTAATATTTTACTGTTATACCTAGTACAGTACTGTACTTTTCAACTAATTTTCACTGCACCTGTTCTTCTTAAATTCCTACTCTATATACCTGTATCCCTTATATCAATACCCTGTACAGTATCACCCATTTTATATTTCATTATACTGTACTGTACTGTATACCCTAAAGTTAATTTTTCTCTCTATACATTGTCCACCTATATCACCTTAAGTTGCTATGGTTATAGAGCTCTGAATAATTTCCTGTGTGTTGTGAGACTGTTTTGTACTGTCCGTAGACATCCCTAACTCCTACTCCAAGTGCACTTAATGTCACTCTTCTACTGATGCTTTCATTAACAAAGACTAATGTGTAAATTGGCATGTTATTTAAGCTACAAACACATCTAATTAGCTTATATTTTTTTAAGAAATGTATTTAAAAGTGATTTAAAACTTATGGGCACAGCATAATTGACTTTTTAAATGTTTGTAATTACAGTATTTCAAAGGTCATTAATTAACACTAATTACTCTAATTTTTAAATTGTGATCTCAGATCCTTTATCAGCATGTATAGTAGTACTGTACCCTTGTATTAAGTTTAAACTAAATCTATTTTTTGACCCCAGGTGCCAAAAAGTAAGGTCAGTAGTGAATCGATATTAAAACTAATGTGTTTATACAGTAAAGAAAGTCTATATTTTTAAGAAAGTGTGTATGAAGGTGATTTAAAACTTACAGGCACAGCATAATTATCACTAATTACTCGAATTTTTTAATTGCGAACCCAGATCCTTAATCAGCATGTAAAGTAGTACCTTTGTATGAAATTTAAACAAAATCTATTATCTGATCCCAAGTGCCGAAAACTAACGCTTTAGGTCAGGCGTATTTTTTACGTAAATCAATATTTGGGGGGAAAGTGAAAACTAACGTGTTTATATAGTAAAGAGAGTCAGGGTGTGTACTGGCCAGACAAAACAAAATTTCCAGGTGTAAATTTGAAAAATTCCAGGTACATAAATTCGGTATTTATTACGAAAGAACAAAATTAAAGGTTTTCAATAATATGGATACTACAGGTATTGGGAAATTTAAAGATGATATAAATTATATTAATCAAGAAATAAAGACCCTTTCCCAACCCACCCCAAGCCTAGTGATGAACATCGGCAAAAACATTGACACACCCCCCCACCCCCCTATTTTCTCCTAGGATTTGTGTGATTCATGTGGGTCGACCTGGACATTCCAAAAAAAGCCAGAAATTCCCCCCCAAACAGAAATCCAGCAAAAACCTAAAGATCACACTCCTGATTCACCTATATGACTCATGTGTGTAATACAGGGGTAATCCACTTAAATAAAGTCATTTAATTATAAGAACAATTCATCTCTGACAATACTCATCACAGAATTAGTAGGTATAACCTATAATATTTGGTTACCGTAGTTGATCGCTAACATGAAATATGAGAGGTACACAAACAATTCAGTTATTTGAGTGGATTATTGACTGGAATTTGTTCCTAAAAGTTTAATTACAGTACTTACCTATTATATAGTATAGTACATCATTAATTTATGGTAAGACTGATATCAAGATAACAACATCTTGAAATTGAACTGAACTCAAAAAATTAATTCCAGGTTTATTTGTAAAATTTCCTGGCTTTTTCAGGTTTTCCAACCAAAAATAAAATTCCCTGCCCTTTTCAGGTTTCCCAGACCAGTAGACACCCTGATCTTGTTAAACCTGACTGTATTTTTGCACTTCTGGGCCCATAAAACCTTTGGCATTTTGACACAAACGTAATGTTATGAGAAACTTATGGAGGACTTTTCCTGTACCAATTAATCTACACAATCCTGCCAAGCCCTAACTTTAATATTAACATGAATATGAAAATGTTTGTCCAAAAAAAAATTATAAAATGTTTCAGTATCTTTTAACTCCCTACTTTATGAATATAATCTCAACTAACCTGTTGACATGAAAATAATTACCTGTATAAATTTTATTTTTTAAGATTTCAACCAAAACATAAATACATTACACTAACTTGATGTATATCACGGTGAGGTGATTTTTACCCTCTAAGCGGCCCAATGTGTGAGCACGATAGACACGATGGCTGTGTAAGAGGGTAGGACACACATGCAAACATATTTAAAATTTGAACAGGCACATCTCAATTACTGTATACATGCAAAGCTGAAAAAATTAATACTCCATGAAGCACAGTGATAGAAAGGTCCGATAAACTAAGTGGACACGGGAGATTCAACACAGCACAGGTATAGTGGTGAGAAAGAATACTCTATATATTTAAATTTTTAACACTGCCTTCAGGTACAAACTATTTTACGTAGGTAAGCATTTGAGACAAAGTTACTGCACTAAAACTACCATACACATAGCAATATATATAAATAGGATCAAAAGTACAACAAGCACTCACAAAACAAAATTTCATCATAAGAAAATAAAATAGCATTGTCTTATAAGTCTGCTAGCATGGATATATTTTTCTTCCTTTCTTTCTGGCTGGAGCTATTTGAGCACCAGAAACTTATTACCTTACCAATCAACTCTTAATATTGTACCTGTAGGAGAGTAGTAGTTGGAATTCTTCAAAAACTTCCATTAATTCTCTCCTTTTTAGAGCCTTTCTCTTAGAGACCCACTTTCTTTAACAGTTTGAATTAGACTTTTACTAGTTTAAAAGGAAAACCAACCCACACAAAAAAAAAATTCAATTCACAACTGGATGTAAGTTTGTGCCAATGGAGGATACCAAGACACTGACTAGAGATGTCAAACATAGAAGGACAATTGCGTGTGGTGGAAGAGTGACTGATAACTTAAGTCACAAAGAGAATGGTCAACTTTGTGATAAAATTCTGAGAACTTATATCTTAGATATGAAATTCTTCAAATCTTGGGGAATAATCAACATTGGAATGAATATCTAAAGTCTTGGAAAATTATCAACTAATGGACAAAATGCAGATCTTGGAGTACTGTATAATTAACTTCACACTGAAAAGGACTACAGTAGTGTAGTCATGAAACAAATGTTCACTTGTGGAGCTCAAGATTCATGTTGCGTCATTCAGTATTGTAGTTTCTTGTGAAGTCTGGGGTGTACATTCGTCTCATTCTTAGCTGGATGTGGAATATGGTTGATGTATAGAGAGCCTTGTGTGACCTTTACTAGTGGGTCTGTAAGGAGTTAACTGTGAATGTGAAGAGTTGAAAGCGAAAGGATCAATGAAAATACTGTACAGGATATGATGAATTACTTAAAATTTGGGAATCTGTCACAATATTAAAATTATATTCTGTATAATGTTATACACATTTAGGATAGATGTTATTTTTTATAAAATCTTAAAATGTGGTTTCTTATTCAGCTGATACGATCATGGGCCCTAAACTCATGATGACAAGGGACAGTGTATTCTTGATGAAGTGTAGAGGCTTCACCCTTAAGAATGCAATATTCTCAAGATGCTAGTACAACTTGTACAAGACCTGGAAATTAGTAATATATTCCAAGGACATATACTTACAGTTTCTGCAAGTCTTAGACAACTGAACCATCATCATCACCAACAAAACAAATTAAAGTCTGCAGTAACAATGAGTCCAGCTAGACAGTGGTGGCTATTCTTTAAGCACCTGGAAACTCAAAGACCAGCCCCAGAAAGAAGGAAGTCAAAAGATTTTCTTATGATGAAATATCAATCCTCAGATTTAAGTCCACTTAGAGAAAACACACATGCACTTATTTTTTATACAAATTTCTTAAGAAAATTATATCATGCTTCTCAAACTTATCCACCTACTTTTTGATAGCTTCATTAACATAAGGTGCTGGTGGTTGAGCAGGCAAGGATGCTGGGCCCTCTGCTGCTCGGGACAGCATGGGAGAAGATGGTGCGGACCCCACACTGCCACTTACACTACTGCGCCGTTCTCCACTTTCTGCCCCACTGATACTTCCAGGTAGGGGCAAATCCTATAAACATAAAAATATGCAACTTAGCTTCATAATAAATTACCTCAATATTCCAACATAAGCAGCAAATTCATTTCCATAGTACTGTAATATACATTCCAAGGAAAAATATATACAGTATACTCTAAAAGAGCTGCAATTGGGATGAATATATATTGTATCAATATGTGTACCAGCAAGCTTGTATGCACTGTATATTATTTAATAACCTCAATCTCAAGTTTTAGTCATATATCACACAGTCATTGCTGCACCAACAGTGGACATGCTAAGTTTATAATGGCAGAAGCTTTGATCTTAAAGTAAACATGCATCCACTTATCAACAAATGTGGTAATAATTTAATTACGTGCATAAGAAAGTTGCTCAAGAAACTGATCCTCTTCAAATTAATGTGGCACTTGATACCTACAATGAAAGCTTTTTTTTTCCTTTTCTACAGAACACAATGTAATACTGTACTAAATGACTGTCCTTAAGAATGCAATACTCTCAAGATGCTTGTACAACTTGTACAAGACCTGGAAATATAGTAATATATTCCAAGGACAAATACTTGCATCCACTCAATATATACATTAATATGATTTGTTCAACCCAGGTTTTGCATCAGATTAAAAAAGTAAAGCATCAAAAAGCTGGGAATTCAAAACTATGTAAGGATCTGCCAGTATGATAACACAAGCTTGTTTCTGTCATAGGAATTTTCATGAAGCTTAGCCTCCTGGGTGTACCTGAGACAGGATGCGTTCACTTCCTGTGCGCTCTTCATGCTCTGTTACCTGAATACGCTTAACGATGTGTTCTGAGATGTTAAACTGTAAAGAAAGTGTCTCTTTACTATGTCTGCCTTACGGTGACCAAGACACTTCAAACAGCTAGAAATGTAAACTTCCCTGAAACTTATGTTATCAGAGATATCATTTGTCTTCATGTAAACTCTGATATTTTCCACATCACATCAGTAGTTTAAACATACAATTAATATCAGCAAGTATCACAAAAATTAAATATAATATCTTGGAATTACGAATGCTTAATTTACAGATCATGAAACATCTCTTTATCATTTTTCCCTTTCTTAACTGACTACCCTCATTCTTACACATTTTCCTTTACTCCAAGGTACAGTTGTCACAACTGCATCAATCACATACCTAAAAAATTAATAATTTTCTGGAATTTTTTAACACAGTTTTTGAGCATTATTTTGGATTAGGATACTTGACAAAGAGGCCATCAACAGCCAAAATGTTTGGAGACAATTCTATTTGCATCATCCTGGTTTGTGGAGAAACATTTGCATGATATGAATAAAAATTTTAACATCCAATAAGAACATTATCATGTTAGCACCCAATTGAAAGCTTCTGCCTCTTCAGCTCCCACTACAGTAGCTGTAAGGTACAATACATACAGCAATGGTTTGGTTATTCTCAAAATGCTCCTCCACTTAACCATCTTTCATCTGTCACGACTATGGGTAATTTTACGATCTTGTTAGTTCCTGTCTTGCTTCTATCACTGAATTATCAACCATCAATTTTATGTACATCCTTCATTCCTTACTGTCCTCTCATACATTCTAAAAATGCATCTCAAACTATCTAACTAACTACAGTACTGTACAATAATATATCAATGCCTAATGTCCTAGTACTGTATATGACCACTCCTCGCTAACATCACATGAGGGGGGGGGCTGCGTCATCACCATCCTTGCACATGCCTGCACTGTCAACAGTTTTCTAATACAGTAACATGATATATAGTATCTTCCTTATTGCAGTTGTACAGTAATGTACATGCATTTAAGAAACATACCATAGTTAACTGTATACAACTGCTTCCCTTAACAGTATAATAGTAATTGTTTAATGCAAACACAAACATCTGGTCGAGAGTATTACCGTGAGTCTTGAGAGAATAGAGCGTGGTAGTGATACACTGTCATCTTCATCCTCTCGTGGAGACAATGCCTGAGGAGTTAACATCTGGACCGGGATATTAGAGAAATGCTCTGTTGGGATGCGCATCTGCAAAACAAATTGTACATTTATTATAAAGTACTGTACAGTACATTGAAGTACAATACAATAATTAAAATATGATGAAGTAGCTAATTGGGTAATGGGAATAATTCATCATCATGGTACTCTTTTTGACTGGTACCGTACAGTATATGGAATTTTAAAATTTATGATCATTTTTAATTCAATGCATAATCCACCTAAAAAAGAGGGTGGAATCCTCCTAAAGGAATGGACTTTTAGTCTGAACTCTGGAATGATAATAACAAAAACTAAGGCAGCAGTAAACAGTGAATACTGTATCATACTGTATTCTACACTAAATTTAAGACAATGACTTTAATTAGGTACAGGTACAGTACTGTATACCTGCAGAGGTGTATCACTACAATTTCATCACATTAGTACAATACTCATTAAACAAGCATCATCTTACCTTTGAGATACACTTTTTACACACTGTCCTCTTACACAGTCTACAGTTGGTGCCTCGCGGGCCAAAGAAACCAAATCTGGTCTTCATGCAGAGGAAACATATTTTGCCCCTGGCCATGTCCTCCTTGATGGTCAAGTCAAGAGGAAGAGCCTCCAGGTCAGCTTTGGTCAGGACATTACGGATGTGGACCACCTCCTCCAGGGTGAGCGCCAGACAGTCCAACCGTGAAGAGAAATGAGCCTGTAATCCAAAATATATTACAGTATTAAAGATTATTATACAGAATAATTACTTGTAATTTTTATATTTTTCAGTTTATATAACTGCTAAAATGTACAGTATGTACAGTACCGTATAAATTATTAATTAATGAGTTATGTACAGTATAGTAATGTGTAATGTTTTACATGCAGGATATTAGTCCATTAACAGGCTGTTCCATTACTGGTAAGTGCAGTCAATAGTGTACAGTACTGTATAAACCAGAGTGCATAAGGGTGAACATAATATTTTTTTTTTTTTATGGACAGAATAAATTATCTAATTTAACTGGACACTGTACATACTTGGACTTTAATTAATAACAACCGAGACTTTTTTGCCCAATGTGTCAAGCAATGATACCCACATATAGTGAACATGTGAACACTTACAGAGGACAAAAATTCGCGTTGTGTCTGAGATGCAGATGCGACAAAGTCTTGGTGTGCTGGAGAGTTTGGAGCAGAAGGGTTTCTTGACTGTGGCAGAGAGGAAGGTGGGGTGATGGAGGTGATGGAGGACTGGTGGGTCAGTGAGGGCGTTTCACACAAGGTTATAGAATGACGACGTTCCGGAGTCCCCGTGTTGCCATATTTTGCCAGGTCAAATGCTAAAAAGAAAAAAAATATAAATATATATATATATATATATATATATATATATATATATATATATATATATATATATATATATATATATATATATATATATATATATATATATATATATATATATATATATATATATATATATATATATATATATATATATATATATATATATATATATATATATATATATATATATATATATATATATATATATATATATATATATATATATTACAGTATAATGTAATAATATCAACAACAACAATAATAATAATAAATGCTTGAAAATCTCTATACTAATGATTATTATAGTTTAAATTTTTACATACTGTATGGCATTTAACTCAAAATATTCAAAAGGAAAGTTAATACAGTACAGTACAGTATCAGTGCTAGTTGTCAAGTACTGTACTATACAGAACAGTACAGCATCAGTGCTAGTTGTCATGTACTGTACTATACTGTACAATTATTATACAAATTTGAGACCCATCATACTGAGTACAGTACAGTACTTACATCTAACAACACCTGGGAATACTGAATGAGTATTAATCACACAGTAACTTATTATATAATGTACAGTATATAAGTAACAAGATGCAAATTCCTATCAACAGTTTACTCACAGATGAATACCTGTACTTACTGTTTCAATTAACCGACTTAAGATTGACTTTAAACAACTATGAGTGGGTTATACAGCACAGGTATATCAATGAAAGAGAACATATTTTTTGTTATTACCGGTATACCACAAAAATTTAAGCTGGTTTTTCTATTCAGTACAAATGAAGAAAGTAATTCTCAACAATAAAAAATTATAAATATCTTGCACAAAGTTAGCAGAAAAAATAACAGAGTCACTTTTAATGGCATGATATCTATGCTACATCCCTCGTTATATGTACCTGTACTGTACTGGTATATTTTAAATGGCAACCCAAAGGCTAATATGCTGTAAGATACAGTATAGTACAGAACAGTACTCACCCATCCGTGACCAGGGGGAAGTGGGGGTTGATGTTGGGGTCTGTGAGTCAGGACTACGAGGTGCTCCTGTGCCTACTACTGACATATGACCCAGACGTGGGCTAGATGGAGGAATGTCGCTTAAATCATCTTCTTCCTCATCCTGCGACATAGTGAAATATTAAATGACACATTTCAGTGGACAAAGTAAACAGTATTGTTAAAAGAATGAATGATGTGAACTTAATCAGTATCTTTTTAATGCAATTTATAAACTGTACATGTTGAAGATATTGAGATGCAACATAACTGTTTAATGTTGGACTGTCTAATTAGTGTTGAGTGACATTATTATTTCTCAATATACAGTACAGTACAATACTGTACTATCGAATCTCTTTGCTTATGTTTTAAAAACAAGCTTGTACATACAAGGTATGTAACACACTTAAGGGAAATAAAGACTCATACCATTGCTGAAAAGTACAATGTACTTTCCTGTAAAATATGTTTAATTTACTGTATCTCATGTGAAATGAAATGTAACACAAGTTAATTTTGATGCAAACCATAGTGCCCTCAGTGTACAATAAAAGTATATATTATTGTATAACAATGGACCGTAATTACAGAAGGAAAACTAACTGCAGTGTGATAAAACAAAATTCTATAGATCAGCAAAATTTATTCTAAAAATCATGAAAAATATAAAAATGTAAAATTCAACTGACCAACAAATATTCATTGTTTTAAAAATGAGAACAAATATGAAGAAATAAATGCGAAAAATCAGACAATTTATTCAGGTAATCCAAAGATACACTGTACAGTTTCAATACAATGGATAGTTTTGCTTAATCCTGTCAACAAAGTTTGGACGTACAAGTATATGCACATAGACAAACAGATGCAAATAAATACAGTAAAGTTCAAAATTCCAATTCTACAAACACAATGGTGGTTTAGAAACAATAAAGACTCGTACCTCGGCTGAAATATTAAACCTGGGTGCTTGGATAAGTTTCCGCTGCGGCTTAGGTGTTGGGTCTAGTACCATTGGTGACCGAGACGTCTCCACCACTGGATGATAACAAAACACATTAGCATATATGAATTACATGTGCTATAATATATAACCTATTAAGCTTCAATTACCATTTACCTCAGCCCCGACATAATAACGCACACTGATACTAAATACTGGGATTACTATTACTGTATTAATTAGATATGTCTGGTGTGTTTATCAGCACCACCGTTTGTAAATCACCAAAAGAAAGTGAAACTCCAGACGAGAGAGTTTATTCCAAGACCCTGCCATAATAAGTGTTCCTTGTTCTAATGCCAAACCCCATTACCGAAGGAACAACAATAGGGAGAGGAAATGAGAGTGAGAGAGATGAAAGGGGATAAGGTAATAACAACACCAATAGTTATAAGCTATCATCCCCACCACCATCTCTCATTACTTAAACATAACACTATGTTTTTTCCCCTGCCTAATAATTCCACAGAGAGACACTACAAATAACTCCCCACAACTCGTTATAACAGCCACCAGAAGTGTGTCAGTGAGAGTGGTAGTGGAGGAAGACGAGTGAAATATGAAGCTATTATTACTCTCCCTGTCATGCGTCACCATCATGTCTGTACGATATATCTTCCACGTGCTTTTATGTCGCTGATAGATTAGATTCTCAAAGATTCCTACCATATTTTTTCTTCACCTAATTGAGAATAATAAAACATCTAGTTACGTCATTAGTCTTAACAAAATATCAACAACATTTGGTTACTGTATTCATTATTTCGTACCAAAGATTGAATGAGCCACTCGGATACGCACATAACCAGGAAGAAGGAACTATTTTATTTTACGAGTCATTGGAGAATCGACATTTCAGAGTCACTCTCAACATAATAATATATGACTCGTATTTCCCAAAATCACCGCAATAAACTATAGACCGGTGACAGTCATATCGAACTTCCAATATAATTATACCAGTCAACTGTGTCAATTTGAAAGCCAACTATTATTAACGGACCTATATTAGCACAACACGAATACTTCCGACAAGAGAACATTACAACAACTAAATAAAATGATGAAGTTCGTGAAGACAATCGTAACTGGGGCTGTGTTCGAGTACAATGACCTAGCTATGAGTGGGAGGGGGTTGCGAAGATAGTGTGCTCTTGTGTGATGTATTGTCTCACAGTGTTATCTAATTTTATGTGATGTTATGTAAGGAATATATAATTATTAGCCAAATCAAACACAAATTAGGAGTTTACTGAGATAGTGTCCACAAACGATAACTAACTCTCTCTCTCACGGGAAAGAACGTACCATGCTAGTGAAGATAGGTGAGTAGAATAGTCGATCACGAACCCATTGAAAAATAATATCTAGTGTTTGTGAGATACATAGACCAATACTAGTACAAAAATGGAACCAAATTACTTGAAACTAATCAGCAAACTTTTACTATACTACGCTGTTGCTGGTAACCTTTTGCTACAAACAAACTTGGGTGAGCTAGACGGACAAGCAGACAGTGAGGGATTGAGGGGCATACTATAAAATAAAATAGCTTCTTCAGGAAAACTTCTCAGTGGTTAGAGATGATAATAATAATAATAATAATAATAATAATAATAATAATAAAACTATAAAAATAATCATTACAAAAATTCTTGGGTACCGAAATAATCCCACAGTTAACAGGGAGGACTTGACCATTAATACAAACGAGGGCATTTGGCTACGGTCTCCTCCACCAACCCACCATTCTCCACCACCTCACCCTACTCCACCACTCCACAATACCTCCTACTCCATCATCCACCAACCTCACCACAACCCCCCCCCTACCACCAAATCGCAACCTCTACCACTGTCTACCACCACCACCACCACCATCCTCCAGCCAAGTGGTAAATATTAAAGACACACAAAAATAGCAGGTGACCCCACAATCAATACCTGCCTCCTCTACCCTCCCCTCCCCCCACACTCTCACCCTCATTCTACCAGCCTCCCTTCACCCTCCCCCCCTCCTCAGGACATTCTACCTATTCCTATGAGGGTTTTTGGCTCACCTGAAGATTAGACACCCAAATTTATCTCACCTGTGGGAGTTAAATTAACGTTAAGGTGTTTAATACTCAGGTGAAATAAGCTAGGATGGCTTATCTTCAGGTGATCTTAATCTATAATCATCATCAATTACCCCCCCCCACCCTGATTTTGACTGATTTCATAATACGTCTCACTATGCACGCCAGATTTACACCTCCCTGCATTAACTCACCAATACTCACTTTATTAAAATCAAAATGTATCTCAACCGCAGTCTAGTCCCAACCGCAGTCTAGTCTCAACCGCAGTCTAGTCCCAAGTGTTATTTCGAGTCTATTATCACCTTCAGTTTAGTGTGAGCAAGTCGAGAGTGAGTGAGTCAGTCAGTCAGATGCGTTAACAAATTTAAGCGTAGGAACCAGAAGAATTCATCGATCACAACTTGGTCGAAATTCCCTCAGCGAGTTTACAGTGCGTACAGTGGTTAGGGTAGGAGTGGCTTAGGTTGGGTTGGGTTGGGTCGGGTTGGCTTGGGTTGGTTTGGTTTGTGTTTTTTTGCTTGGGTCGGGTTGGATAACAGTATATACTTAAAACGTTCGCAGCTAAAACGTTCCAAATTAAAACGTTTCAGGGTCTTGGTGTTCTTCATTAATGTGGTCGGGATTGGTTGAGGTTGGTCGGGATTGGTTCAAGTCGGTCGTTACTGGTCAGGGTTGGTCGGGAGGGGTGACCTCACTCAGTTGTGTTCTGACCTCACTCAGTTGTGTTCTGACCTCACTCAGTTGTGTTCTGACCTCACTAGGGGAAAGGTCACGGCAGGGTTAGCTCCAGAGGGATAATTATCAGATATGGCCAGTGATATGTGCGGTCTTGGGTATGAGAGTTTGTTGACCAAACTGGAGTGGTCCACTGAAGAATTGGCGAGGGCCAAGTTAGAAATTGAGAGGGCCACGTTGGAGAACCTGAAATTAAGGAAAGAGCTGGCGAAGTTAAAAGGAGAGGCTGGACGAGTAAAGCCAGTGTCTGACGAAAAATCAAACGAGTGGAAAGTCGTGAGTAGTGGGAGGACCAAGCTGGTGGTCAAGAAGCACTCAAAGGATACGACAACAACGACAACAACAGCTAAGTGTACCAACCCGTTCAGTCCCTTGATAGACGAATTGGACGTTAGTACAGTCAGGGGCAGGGATGACAAGGAAGGTATAAAAACTTTAATTGTTGGTGACTCACAGGTAAGGTACATGGACAGGGCCTTTTGTGGTAAAAACAAAAATAGGATGAGGGTGTGTTTGCCAGGAGCTGGGGTGGGGGATATAGTTGACAGGATGGACAATATCTTGTCTGGTAATGGGAACAAACCCATTATCTGCCTCAGTGCAGGAGGCAATGATATTGGCCGGTGTAGGAGCGAGGAACTTCTTGATAAGTTCAAGGCAGCCATAGATCGTATTAGGACTAAGGGAGGGATCCCTATCATATGCGGTGTCCTGCCTAGAAGGAGAGTTGGCAGTGAATGGTTGTCAAGGGCAGTTGGTGTTAACGACCGTCTTGACAGATATTGCAAGTCAATATCAGTCCCATTCATTGACAACTGGGACAACTTCTATGGCAGAAGGGACCTTTATGCTAGGGATGGGGTGCACCTGTCTAGGGATGGAGTAGCAACCCTGGCTGGGGCTCTAGAGGGGGCAGTTCAAAAGATATCGAAGTCTTTAAACTGCTAAGAGAACATAGGGGCACGGGGGTGGAGGAGACTGCAGTGGGAGCGGGTAAACAAGGCGAAAGATTACAGGGAAATAGTGTTAGGAATGATGACAAAACTAAATTAGACAGGGAGTTTAAAACTAAACGCGGTAAGGGAAGGACTCAGAACACGACTAACTTAAATGTATACTACGCGAACAGTAGAAGTATGAGAAACAAAATGGATGATATTAAGGCCTTGGTATGTACCGAAGAAATCGATATAATTGCATTCACTGAAACATGGATCAACCTAGACACACGTGAATTACCAGTCGAATACCAAATTGCGGGTTACAAACTGTTCCATACCGATAGGCAGACCAGGAAAGGAGGCGGAGTAGCAATCTATGTTAGGGATAATCTGAAGTGTGAAATAAATAAGGAAATAAAAACTGAGAGGAATACAGAAACAATTTGGATAGAATTAAGCGACGGTCGGGAAAAATTAATCACAGGGGTAATATATAGACCCCCCAATCTTGATAGCGTCAATGAGCGACTTATCTGGGATGAAATGCGCAGGGCTTCCATACACAACAAAGTCTGTATAGTAGGCGACTTTAACCTTGGCCAAATAGATTGGACTGTCCTTACGGGTAACTCAGAATCAGAGGATTTTCTCGAGACGATCCAGGACTGTTTCCTAAGTCAACATATAACCGAACCCACACGGGGTAATAATATACTGGATTTAGTTCTGACGAACAGAGAAAACCTCATTAGCAATGTCGAGGTAGGGAACGAACTTGCAAACAGCGATCACAAAGAAATTCGATTCCAGTTAGATTTTCAGGGCAGACGTAAGGAAAATTCCACTAAAGTACCAGATTTCAGAAGGGCAAACTTTGACAGTTTAAAGAGGCAGCTGAGAGAGGGGGTGTCGCGCTTGGCCGTGAACCTCACAGATGACACAGACCTGATAACGAGATCTGAGATTGCCGAGTTCCACGATAATTTAAATAGTGAGTTACTTAATGCACAAAGGCAGAACATACCATACAAAAAACTCAGATCAGACAACAATGACCCTAAATGGATAAATAATTATTTAAAGAACATCATTGGCCAAAGGAAGGCTATAGGTAGAAGGATAAATCGTGGCGAAATTCACCTCCGGGACTATTATAGGGTATTGGCGAGTAGAGTTAAAACCGAGATAAGGAAAGCAAAGAGGAATAATGAGGTAAGGATAGCAAGGGAGGCGAAGACAAACCCCAAAGGATTCTACCAAATGTATCAAACTAAAACACGAGAAAAGATTGGACCAATACGG